AAGAATGAATGGCTTTTCTGTATAGGATGCACCCCTCGACTCTCTCAGGTTGTCCATCCTGACCTCCCACAGGTGTGCTGTGAGCAGCTCTCACAATTTTGACATCGTTGGACACACAACAATACCTTGTGTTTGGGGGCTGCTCTAAGAGTGCATTTAGATGACTCCAACTTAGACCTTTCTTCTTTGGATTGCATAACATTGTTCTCCCACTTTTCCTACAACAACTCAGACATAGATACAAAGGTGAGGGTTTGTATTGACACAAAGAATCAGCAAAAAATCCTAGCTCTCTCCAGAGGGTTTGTGAGGGCCAGCTCATTAGAGAAAAAATGGTTCAGGCACAACAAACAGCAGAAGGAGGCCAACTGTTCGACCCCCTCCTGTGGGTGTTCCCATCAGATGCACTGTGGATGCATTTCAAATACTGAATTTCCACTCTAATATTGTAAGGCAGCATGTCACCAAGCCTCAGTAAGAGGTGAAATCTAAGAGTGTAGAGAAACACACATGGGAAGAACCTTACAATAAAAAGAAAACAAACTCTGGGGAATGTGGTTAAGAAATATCAGACTCGATTAATAATGGAGCCTTCAATACCCGTGGAGAAATCCAATACAAACCAAATTCAAACTACATGCCAGCGCTGCCAGCCATTTTCACTTTAAATTGATTATGTTTTTAAAAAATCTTAGGGGAAGAATTCTTTAAGAAAATCAAATCTGGTTAAAACCTACATTCTTCTAGGTAATGAAAATTAGGTCAAGAACATTAATTTCAGATTTTTTTCTCTTTTAATTAAAAACAAATATCTTATTTTTTTCTTTTTTGCTTAAATTGAAAAGAAGTTTTTTTGAGACAAGACGGGAGCCTCCAATATGAAGGGTACAGCTGAGATAAAGTTAAGGGAGAATGAGAAAATATATAATATTTTAAAAACGCAATTTTAAATCACGCATAACTTGTTTTGGCATTCATCCCAGATAAGTATCAGTCTAGTCGGGGATAATGATGAATTCTGCTTTAGAACTGCATAAAGCTTTGACAAGGCAGTAAGCCCAAGTCTTGGGAATGCAAAACGGATGACATTTGGAATGATCTACTATCCAAAATAGAGGGAAATGAAGCTTAACCCACGTGCCAATATAGTCTCATAAATCCACCTGAAAGGTCACAGCCACAGACATACTTGGACACAGATATAGATACAGACACACACGGACATGGACAGACAGACACATGCTTTAGGGTATGAAAACGTTCCTGGGTCAAAATTGTAACAGTGCAATGGTTTCTAGAAAAAAAAACATTTCCTATTCTGGCTCAGAATATAAAAAAATGACATTCCCATTCCCATTGTATAATGGATCTTTCAGTCACGGTCTCCTATGGAAGCATAATTTGTGGAATGGATGACAAGAAGAGTGTTATGGTATCTGGAATTCATTTACAATCTTTAGATGGGAAAAATTGAGATCCAATTAAAACCTTAATAAATGATTCTGTGTTGAATATACATATATTAAATTAATATGTATGCAAGATGAAATTGGAAAAGTTATGGGAGTCTGCATTTTAATTCTGTTTCTATCAGGAAACTGTATAACTCTGAGAATTACTTGGTAATGGGGCTGTTTACAATGAGGCAAAACTGAATTTAAATAGGACATTTTAGCCCAAGACTTGTCATAACTCATGAAGTCTCAGCCTTAAGGCATGTGGAGATCTCATTGGTGAAAGGCCTGTGAGGAGAGGGAAGATGGAGCAATTGAAGCCAAGGAGAGCCCCAGGATGATGTGGTGAGAGGGCCAGCACCCAAGGATCCTGCCATGAAGGGAAGAAAGGGCTAGATACGGCAGTGATTATCTTTGGTGGGAGGTAATTCTCATGGCAGAAGGTGGTAACAGCTTAGTTGTATGGGAGGACTAGATGGGATGTGCAGTCTCTTTGCTAAAGTAGGACCCAGGGGCTGGGGGTTGATAAGATACAAGGTGAGTGTACCTATCTGCTACACTCAAATAGATACAATGTATCTATCCTCCACATACATATTTGACCTAGGTTTTGTATCCTAGTATGTATCCTAGGGAGGATATATATTTACCTTAGGTTTTCTGACTACAAAACCTAAGACAACAGACTAAATCTGAATGGTGCCAAATGGTAGAGATTGAGCTCCTAACACACTGGGCAGCTGAATGCAGCAGTTAAGACGGCAGACTCAGAAGTCAAACTACCTGGGTTCAAATTCCTGTTCCCCCAATTACCAACTGGGGATGACAATACCCATATAGATGTTGTGAGGATCAAATGGGATATTGCATTTAATTGCAAAATGCCTCCATTTTGTTATTATTATTTTTGGACCAGGCTTTTGGCTTTAAGTCATATAACTTGACACTTGGAAAATTATGCTACATCTATGGGCTGCACTAAGCTATTCCTGTAGTTTGGCCAGTTTTAAAACAAAAAAAATCCGGCCATTCCCTTTCCCCCACCATCCCACAAATCTGGCTGCACCTTTATTCCCTAATAGGTTCAGAACCTATTTTTATTTCCGTCCAACTGCTGTCCTTCTGAAACAGTGGTTGTTAATATTGTTTTGTAAAACTTCTGGTCCAGATTTATTTTAGAATCTACTGAGTTTGTTTTTAGATTATTATAAATGTTCCTCTATTCCTATCTGTATTTAGGCATAACTTGTGGATGCTAGTAAAAAAAAATAACATTTTGGGAAGTGTGGACATGGGTGGGAGGGAGTTGAATTGAGAAAGCCATACCCAAGACTGATGGAGCTAGTAAAGCCCTCACTCTGGCACACCCGAGTCACAAGATGCTGAATGTTTGCCTCCTCAGTGTTTATCTTTCTGAGGCATCCAAGGTGAATGGCAGTCATCCTTTTCATCCTTCCTCACAAGCTATCTTTAGCAAAAGTTTTTTTTTTTCTGTTAGATAAAGAGCTACCATTTGGAGAGCGTTTATAGTGCCGGAAATTGAGGTGAGCGAATTTACAAGCATTATCTCATTTAATTCTCATGAGGATAGATACTATTATATAAGCCAAGATTAAAGAGAGGTTAAGAAACTCGATCAAGGTCACCTAGCAAGAAAGTCCTCAGCAGGTTGCTCACTAGTGTCTGCTCTGTTGTCTCTGAGACCTGCAGACTTTCTGAGAGAGAATCATGTGATCTGCCCACCCTTGCCCCTCCCACTTGCCACCCTGTCAAGCCCAGTCCCTCTTTCCTTAGAGCTTTGCTTCCACTTTGGTTAAGGACCTTCTACGTTATCTTTCCTGCTCATCCCCGACAGGTCTTGTAGTACCTCAATAAAGATTTTTTCCTCCAGTTAGTGGTAGCTCAGAAAAGATTTATTCTTCTATTAGTAGCTCAATAAAGCTTTGTTGAATTAATAAATGAATGAAATCCTGAGTTTTCCTGGCCCACTAAAGACCATGAGCTAAAGCAGTGGTTTAAAACATAGAGTCCTGATCAAGGAGTTCTTGAAAATGCAGCAGATCTCTGAAGCAGAGGCAGGAGGGAGTGGGAGACAGGGTGTGGTCCCCCAGGGAGACCAAAAGAGGAACTTCCCTTGGGAGCAGGCAGTTGGTCCAGTCTCAGCCTTGGCAACACTTTTCCTGGGGTTCTTCCTGCTCTCTCAGGATTCTGAATGTTCCCATCCCGAAAACACCAAATCCCTTGAAAGTCTGGTTTCTGCCTTGTGGTTTGGAGCCAACCTCATGACGTCACAGCCACCAGCAGCCCACAGCGCTTTTTCTGACTCCATGTAGGCAAACTAGACAAGGCTTCTAGCAAGTGAAACCTCTTTTGGGTAAATATTTTGGGCCTGGTTTTAAAATTTCTCTGCCAGACCAAGTGGCAGAAATCTGTGTATATATACACAAAATGCTCTCTCTCTTCTTCTGCTATGTGTGTGATGTTACTTGCCCTGTAGAAATAACTCTGCTTCTCTTAGCCAGTTCTTCCTTGGGAATTGGGCCTTCCCTGTTGATTTTCACTCAAAGAGGGCCTGCTGAGTTGGGGTGGAGAGGACCCAAAACATACCTTCTCCCACACCACCTGCCTCCTTAGGTAGAGCTGCTGTATCACCCTTTGTTTTAGCATCAGAGAGTTTAGGTCAGATGGTGAAAAACAGCCTCTCTACATTTCCAAGCCTAACAGGAAGGTTTAGATCTAACCTTGCTATGGAAGTTGCAACAAAGTTCATTCAAATTCTAAACTTGTAGCAGGGAAGGGCAAAGTCCTGTGCATGCTCACACACACACACAATTTATGTACATATACAATCAATGTATATGAGAATATACTATATTTTCATATATACACATATATTCTATTTACTGTATATTTATATATACACACATTTTTCATAATCACACGAGCTTAAAGCAGGAAAGAGCAATGCATTATATATATACACATGTATACATATATGTGTGTGTGTGTGTGTACATACACAAAATATATTACACACAGTGTAAGGTTCATGGCATCTTTAGTCGATAGGTAATTGTGCTCCCTTATTAAAGGCATATTATTAATTTTAGATAAACCCATCAGAGAGTTTTTAAGCAGAGCGAAGGCTCTGTCCTTAAACGGCCCAGAGAGAATTTCGTTTGCTACTTCTGAAGAATCCTTTGACGTGCCCAAGCCTGTGGAGGGGTGATTCCAAACCCATTTAACTTTTTTTTAAAAAGTGTGAAATGTCTGGAGTTCTCTGATCTGTTAGAGGAGACCAAATCGAGGGGAAGAAAAGGCCGCTTTCTCTCCCCAGCGGGATCCAGGTCCCTGCCTGCTGCCGAGCAGACTTTGTATACGTTGAACGACAGAACGTTCACAGAAAAAAAAGGAGAAAAGAAAAAGTAGCAAGCACGGAGGGGAGGCCGCCGGCGCCGGGACGGCACGTGACCCGGGGGCGGGGCCTCGCGGGCCGCCAGCCAGTGGCCGGGGGCCGGGGGCGGGCCCGCGGCGGGGGGCGGGGCCTGTGCCCGTGCAGCTCGCGCCGCGGTCCCCTTATTTGGATCTGCGGGAATGTGGGCTGGAGCTGTCCTGCCGCGGTACCAGCCTCCAGCCTGTCGCCGAGACTGCCCCTGACCCAGGCGCGCCTGCTGCTCGGTGGCAGGAGGGCCGGCGGAGCGCCATGGCCTGCATCCTGAAGGTAAGCACTCGGATCTGTGGCTCGGACGCGTGGTTGGCCGGCGCCTTGCTGCTCAAAGGCGCGGAGTCAGCCGCGGTCCCACCGCATCCTCATCTCAGTTGTCTTTTCCTGGCGTTGATTTTCTTTTTGTTCCTTTGGCAAATGCATATGGAGGGAGATTCTGAAACATGCAGCTGGCATAGCTTCTCTTCCCACCGTTCCTGCCTGCTCGCGCCTTCATCGGAGGAGCTGCACTGTTGGCTCCGGGGGAGAGCAGGGCTGTGTGCCGAGTAATGGGGATGGCAGGGAGCGGAGGGGGGCTCCCGCGGGTCCTGCGGCTCCGCTGCCCGAGGCCGTTCGGGGGCCACGCGGAGAGGAGGAGTGGCTGGGAATGGGTTATTGGTGGTGAGGGGGATAGCACTTTGAATGGGGGGAGGGTGAGCAGAGCGTTGTTCTCCTGAGCATTTGGTCAAGTGAAGAGAGAAACTTCTGAGTGCCCAGGTAGTCCCTCAGGAATGAGTTTTCTGTGAGATCTGCTTGCTAGCTCTAGGTGCTATTAGCTCTACTTTGGAAAAGTTCACAGGAGGATGTATTTGTTAGTAGACAATGTCGGACCCTCTCTTTGCTCAGAAATTTGAAAAGACATAATGATTTTACTCCCCATCAGAGTCCGCTCAGCCACCCTTTCTTTGTTGAGTTTTGTTTCTCCAAGTCTGGGTTCTGAGCCTGCATGGACGGACTGTCTTTCTGGGTTCACAGCCTTGTGGCATCAGGCGGGAGGACTTGGTATGAGTGCCTCACTTGGGAACTTTTCATCCCACGGCGAGAGGTTTTTGTTTGTTTTTTCGATTTTCTGTGCTACTGTTTCTACTGGTGCCTAACCTCACTCCTGACTGCTTGGATCAAAAATATCCACAACTTGAAGGCTTCCAGGTCCTGGATTGGAGAATGCAAAGGCCTATTTGTTTCAAGCTTGGGGGAGCTGTGTGTGACAGAGGAAAACACCAGAAAACAATTTTTTGTTGTGTTATTGTGAGATAGCATTTATTTCTCTGTAGGGTGATTGGAAGCCATCTCCTGCTGTATTAGTTACCCGAATCCCCTTCCAGCTAGTTACCCGAATCCTCTTCCAACACGCCTTGGTGGGAATGATGCAGATAAGAGACGAACCTGGTAGAGTTTGTTTCCATTTCTTAGAGTAAAGGAGATCAGATATTTTCTGTGACTTTTCTGAACTTCCTCTGTTTGATTTTGGAATATTTTCTGGGACCTAACAAATGGTAGCAGGATCAAGATGGGTACAATATGAGATTTTCACCTTGGAGACTCTCAGCATGAGGACTGAAATATGAATATGAGTCCTCTCTGCTGTTTATTTATTATTGGCTGAAAGGGAAGTTGAGGAGCATGACGTTTATTGTTGGCTGTCTTCTTCCCACTTCGTTTCTCCCCTGCCTCATCTTGCACATGTTCCAAGCATTTTCCATACACATCCCAAGCTACACGTGAGTCTGATCCTTCCTCTCCAGCATCTCACACTGACCTCGGACGTTTGGGGCATATTCGAGTCCTCCTTATTTGTCCTCCACTGAAACTAATCTGAGATGCAGGCAAGTAAACTGCAAATAGCAAAGGCTTTGGACTCAGAAAGACCTTGGTCTGAATGCAGGCTCTGCCACTGGCTACCTGTGTGACCTTGGACAAGTTATTTAAATGTCTCTAAGTCTCAGTTTCCTCAATATAAGATCATAGTAATAGCACCTACTCCACAGGGTTGCTGTGGGGATGAAATAAGCTAGGGTATGAAAAATACTTTGTGCATAGGCATTTAATATGTGCCATTTTTTTTGTGATATATCATAATAACTACAGTTTAATTAATCTTCACTCTATCCTCAGCCTGTTTCATATAATATAACTTTTACTCTTGGATCAAACCCTACCAGGTGAGCATCATTGTTTAAAACCCCATTTTACAGAGGAGGAGGCTGAGACTCCTGAGTTTGAGCGATTTTCCCAAGGTGACAGGGTTAAGGACAGAGAGCCTGAATTTAGACCCAGATCTACCAATCCTGCTTATGCTTTATGCTGTTCCCTGCACTTTCCCAGATGAAGATTTTCTAAGATGTCCTAATACAATTCAGAGTCCTTACCACCTTTGAGGAACAAAGTACCCTTGTGCATTGATGGTCTAGATGGTCTGTGGTGGGCCTTTTCCCCTTGTTGTCTTTGAAAGGCTGTGCGTGGTGGAGTGGACAGTCCGGAGACCTGGATTCAGTGCAAGCGTGGTCTCCTGCATATGATTTTAGACAGTCACTACAACTTGAACCTCCATTTGCCCAAGTTGTAGAATGCAGAAAACTATAATTGCGTGAGAGGGTTTTGTGAGGGTAAAATGATGGATTTTTTTAAAAGATACACTGGCCCTGGACTTGGTGTTGGCATCACAAGATATATAAACCACTGACTCCATTCTCAAGTGGCTTACAGTATAGTAAGGGGGATAGAAAAGTCAGTGAATGTTTATGTACAATGTGAAGAAGAGCATAGGTCTGTGGAAGGCATAGAAGCATGGAGGGAGAGAGAATGAACCCCCTCGTCAGGTAATCAAGACAGGCTTCCACTTATGATATTGGAGCTGGGGTTTGGAGACCGAATAGGATTTACTGTGATGGAGCTTCTCTTTTAGATAACTTTTGGGGCAGTGTCAACTTTATTATGTGGGAAAAAACTAGTGTTCGCAACAGATTTTTGAGGTAGATTTTGTTATCCGTTTTTACATGTGAGAAAACTGAGATGCAGAGAGGTTGATTAAAGCATCATTATTGCCTACACAACAGACCCTAATAGTGGGCATTTCTGACTAGCTAAGAGGAGAAGCCCATGCCATGGCAGCTACTGGTGGTCTTTGGGGGCACACAGAACTCTCCCCTCAAGGTGTTGTGCATGGCGACGGCCCATTCTGCTCATGCGTAGAGCTGGCTCTCATAACAGAGTGGTGATTACCTCAATTATCATTTAATTGTGGAATACATACTCACTCCACATTGCACAAGCTTTGAAGCTAGAAATATGTGGGTTTCAATTATGGTTCTACCACCTACTAATTGTATAACCACAAGTAAGTCTCTTGATTTCAGTTCCCCAGTTTCTGAAATGGGGATGAGCATTCATTCCTCAATGGGTTATTCTAGGGGTTAAATGAGAATATCTGCACATTAGTAAGGGTAGGCTAGTTATCCTGCAGTAAAAACAGCCTCAAGTCTTAGTAGGCTCATTGCTTGCCATGCTCTCCTGGGTAGCTCTCCCGTTGTGAACAATCAAGTGAGGACCAGTGTCTTTCCATGGGGTGTTTTAAGAGTCTTTGAAATTTGATAAACAAGAAAGATATTTAATTTATATTTATTTGATTACTAGTGATGTACAACTTTTAAATTTATATTAGGCATTTGTTTTTCTTCTTTTGTAAATTACAGATACGTTAAAATTTTATGTAATAAAACCTGTTCATATTTTCTTTTATGATTTCTACCTTTGGTCGGCCAGTACTTTTTAAGCACAGTATCTTGTACATCTTCGATACTTAACAAATATTTGGTGAGTTGTATTCAGGGTTTTTTTGTATCCAGCGCTGAAGTGGACCCTAAGTGGACATGTAGACACAAGACACTTGTGAGTCATTTCTGCCTTGGAGAAGGTTATGGTTTTGCCACGTTGATGAGATTTATGAACATGAAGCAATTAGACAATAACATAATGGTGCATGTCTAAGCTACTCTCATCTTCTCTACCCGTCACCTGTCCTTGTGTGACATTTATCTTGATTGATGGGAAATTGGATGAATGTTGGTATCAAGTTGTGAACTTGTCTTCTCATTTCTTCCTCCTCCCCTTGCCCTAGACCTAATCCTTCACCATACTGCGTCAATTCTCTCTCAGGGAAATCTCTCAGATCTGCCCATGACTCTCTATCCTAACTCCCTCTGCCTTTTCAGAGCCTAGTATTTGGTCTGTCTTTTGAAATAGCCTCCTTTCCTTCAGGCTCCTCGAGGTCTTGCCTGTCTTCCACATCACTCTCAGAGTATTGTGCTAAAGTGCAGTGCTGATCAAGCCATTTGTAGGCTTAAATGCTTGTCTTGGCTCCCCAACCCGTGTGGGATAAACCCAACTGTTTAGCTTGGCATTCAAGTTCCTTCAGAATCTGGCCCCTGCCCACATATCTGGCCTCACCACCTACTACTCCCTTACCCGTGGTCCAGACAGTTATCTGAACTTATCCCAAATCTGTAGATGTAGCATCTCCTTTCATGGCTCTGTGCCTTTGTAGTATAGCGTCGGGATTGAGCGCCTGGGCTCTGATGTCAGACCAACCTGTTCCAGCCTTGAGATCTCTAAGCCTTAGTTTCCTCATCTGTGAAATGTGAAAGTAGACACAGTGCCTACTTCTTAAGGCTATGAGGAATAAATGAACTAATTTATAAGACTAATAGTACAGAACCGATGTATAATAAGTCCTTGAGAATTATTAGCTATGAGTCGTTATCGTACATGCTGTTTTCTCTGCAGGAAATTCCCTCTGCTATCACTTTCCCTCCACTGACAAAAGTTCTACTTATTTTTCAACTGCTAGCTCAGTGTCGCATCTGCGGTCAAGCCTTCCCCTGCGTCCGCAGCTTCCCCTGTGCTCCCGTGGTCTTAGTGCTTGCCTCTGGGGCAGCAGGTATTAGCCTATACTGTCTGTTAGCACTTTACATGCCCAGCTCTTTATTGACTATGAACTCAGAGAGAGCAGAGGCCTTCCATGGGTCGATCAGCTAGTGTTCACTAAGCATCTGTAAATGTATACTGTTCTTGCTTTAAGTAAAGTTACAGACTCAGTGGAAAGGTAAGTAATTAAACTAGTAATTCAAAGTATGCCAAGTATTTTGGAAGGTATACCTAGAGGTATGAGAGTATATGCGTGGGGGGTTGGTGGTTACCCAGTTGAGTCTTTGGGGCAGAAAAGGCCTTGTCTTTTTCAA